CCTGAACAGACTCTTACTACATCTTTCCTCCATCATTGTCTTCCTTCTTGGTCTTTTCCTTTCACCTTCTTGTCCTTAAAATTGATTCTTCATTCTTCTCCTTCCGAGCTGACAATAGAGTTTACTGAGCAACGTTCAACAGATGGTCGCTAAAGGAAAACATTAGTAGAGAGCGGATGCATCTAAAACCACCAATTAGATTTAGCTTGCTTGCTTGCCTCGGTTCTAACAATTAAACCCCCTCTTTTGATGGTGTATATTTTTCATCCTTCTTAACATAAGATTTTTTTTTGATAAATCTTCTTAATATAAGATATTCCCAATCAATAAAACCGAAGTATAACTTAAAGACTCTAAGTCAATGGGTGCCAATATTTTTCCTTTCTGTGACCATATATTTATCCCATTGTTTTAGAGGCAAAAGCCATGCTTCATTCAACAAATAAAATCGGCTACACCTAGATTTCCTTTGGATGATAAGAACGATTTGGTAGGGATGCAATTGAATTAAGTTTTATTCGAACAGTTCAAGCTCAAGTTTGTTTAGGCTCGATTCAAGTTTGGTTCTGATTGAGTTCAAATGTTCAAATCTCAGGGTAAGTTTAATTAGTTATTCACTTATTTGAACTCAAATTCAACCAATAAAAAGTTTAGGTTAAAAGCTCATTAGTCGATATAAATAAATAAATAAATTAATTAAACTATATTATATATTTATAAAATATAAAAATATAATAGTTTTCAAGATTTCAAGTCGAATTCAAACTCATCGAATATTTAGTTGAATTGAGCCAAGACATGTTGAAGTTTGGCTTAACTCAGTTCAATTTACACCCTTACTATTTGGTCCAAAGGCAAATCCTTCCATGCACTGGTACATGAAAGAGAACACTAAGTGAGAGTATGGACCGCAAAGTTTGATGATATGCTCATCATAAACTGGAATGTTGGATTTCAAAGGATACAAAGTGTAAGCCTCACACTCAATACCCTCTTTATTTTGGAGGCATGTGATCAAACCTGTTGAATGCTAGTGAGCCTCACAAGCATCCTATGTATCGGGTGTTTTGAACCCATACAATTTTTCTTGGTCAGGAGATCAGTCTTAGGCATGCCAACCCCTGAGAACGGGCTAAACCCCAGAAGTCATTTATTTTACGTATCGAAGACCTGACGACACGATTATGATACTTTCATGTAGCCAACCCATATGGAATAAGGCTTACACTGTGTCGATGATGATTGCATTCAATGAGGATGTCTTCCCTTCACAGCTCCGGTTCAAAATGCTTCATGCTTCATTAGAACATCAATCATCCATCATTACTCTTGGATTACCATCGATCATATTTTCAGTCAACAATCCTGCCCAAAAAAACCTCAACTTATTACTATTGCACCTCCCCCAATTGGAACCATAAACTCTATTGCAATGGCACCTACCAAATTCATTGTCTCACAAAACCAAGGAAGCATCAAGTGAACATCCTACCTTAGTGTTTGCACTATATGGGCCTTTACCACTTTCAGCCCAACAGAAAGCACACCCAATGATAACTCGTTAAAGAATGGTATTTGGAAAACCAAGTTACTCTTGTTAGGTCACCAAACATCCAATTTGACAAACAACATCGGACCTAGTTGTTTCTCTCATGCAAATCAAGATCCACTTCGGTGGGTTACCAATGGCAGATGAATTCTATGTACTAGATTCAGTAGCTAAGGGCATGCCCAGATTTGTTTCAGGTGTTTACCGGCCCAATTTTCCCAATCCTATAAGGACATGATATGTGACAGTCCAAGCCCATTATAATAGCATGGCTACTATGAGATGTAGGTATAACTAGTTTGAATTTGACCCGTTGGTTACTCTAATGGCATTGATAGTAGGGGTGCAATTGAATCGAGCTGAATCAAACTTCAGCGTGTCTTGGCTCGATTCAATTAAAATACTCTTATATTCAAGTTTGAGTTTGATTTGAATTTTGACAAGTTTGAATTCTGACTTGAAAGCTTAGAAAATTAATATATTTTTATGCTGAGATTCAAGCTCAAATTAGCACTGAACTCAAGCCCGAACTGTTCGATTTAAGCTCAATTCAATTGTATCCTTATTTGTTAGGGTTATATTAAGGGATATCAACACGTCATGTTTAGTATGGATTTTCCTTGACCCAAATTAGACCAAACCCTGCTAAATAAATAGAGGTACCAAGCCCAATTGACCAACCTGGCCCGATCCAACCCAAGTTGGTCAGTTTTTCTTTACTATTAGTCGATTTCGAGTTGCAAACATGAGTAAACCGATAATTCGGTTCAGTTTCGATTTTCATGTGTGAAAATCAAAACCAAACCAAGTTATTTGAAAAAAAATATTTGTTAAATATGGATATTTTAGTTTTAAATTATAAATATATATATCTAAAAATATATATTCTGAAATATATCAGATATATTTTCGAAATATATATTTTCAGAAATTAGAAAATATATATTCTGATATATTTGTATATATGTTTTGGTTTTATATATATATTTCAGTTTTAAATATATTTCTAGAAAATATATTCTGAAATATTATATATATTATTAGCACTTTGAGTTCATGTGCATTGTGCAAGCTTGGAGTTGGTTGAAACCCAAACCGACTCAAAACAACCAAGTTGGTTTTACTTAATAGAGGGTTAGTTTCAGTTTAATCTATAGGTAACCCGACTAGGTTGGGTCGGTTGAAAAAACACTAGTAAACCGACCAAACCTGACTCGTGAACAACCCTAATCCCTACCATCCCATATATAGTACACACATACTCAACTAAACTTATCTATACTATTTATAAAAGTACAAATAGATGTGGTTGGCTTCTAGAATTTTCACTAGACTAAAATACCCTATCTATAAGGTTTGAATCAGAGAAGGAGCAATGGTAAATATGTTATTTTGTTTTTTCATTTAATGCTTATTAGGAAATGACATTTCTTTCTCATTTAATATTTATTATGAAAAAGACACAAAACTCCATTCTTTATGTTCATAATTCTAAAACAAGTCAATGGCAAACATATTATTTAACATTCCCATTTAATGCTTGTTAGGAAAAATACACAAAAAAAATTCCCTTTTTTTGTTCAATAATTGAAAAACAAACCATGGTAATTGCTCAAACATCCCTTAAAGTTTTTGACCATTGCCCAAACCTCCCTTGAAGTTTGGTAATTACAATCACCTCCCCTAAACTTCTTGACAAAGTTGCAAATGGATCCCCTTTGTAAAATCCTCTAACAAGAGGCATGAAAATGTCCAAAGTTCCCATGTTATTATTATTGAGGCTTGTTTATACATAAAAAACAATATAAATGTTATGAACAACAAAAAGAGAGTTTAAAGTTACAATTTTACCTTTGAACAATTGTTATGAAGGGAAAATTTGAAAAATACATCAATTCCCAAAAAGAGATTAGAAGGGATCGGGGTAGTGATTGATACGAAGAAAAAAATTGGAAAATAAACATTTTGGTTAAAAGTAACTACATGGGTATTTTGGACATTTTTGTGCTTTTCGTTAGAATATTCTAAGGGTATACTTGCAACTTGTCAAAAAGTTCATGGGAGGTGATTGCATTTACCAAACTTTAGGGGGTTCAACAATGATACAAAATTTTATGGGAGGTTTTAGCAATTTACCCTTTCAAAAATTGAAAGTGCATCTTATGTTCTTAAACTATTTTCTTATTTTTTTAAAATATTTTTAACCTATTTTCATTGGTTAAATTCTTGATCATTGAGGTAGCAAATGGTTTTCTCTTCTTTATTCCTACCATATGGTGGATTAATTTTTCATTTCCATTACCTTAAAGCCCACATCATTGGATGACAAGATATCTGCAAGAGTAAGTGATTTTTTTATAGCAGTTTATTGTAAAGTTTTAGTGATTGAAGGAGCTGAACTTGGATTTATCATATGAAAGTTAATTTTTGCAAAGGTAATGAGAATTCAAAAAAAAATTATGACAAAGGTAACTGATACAAATTATTAATTTTATTAATGAACCACAATTAATAAGAATAATAGGAATTTTATTAATTCTCATTACTTTTGCAAAAATTTTATTTGGACATATCTTTATATTAATGAAGCATGATAAAGGTGATAAATAAGAATAATTTTTATAAATGTAGAAATATAAAAAATTGCAAAAAATTTGGAAATATATTATATACTATCATCATCAAAAAAATTGTCACATGCAAAGCACAAGTACTAGTATTCACAAATATTTTAATGTTGCAATGTCACGGGTTGGATTTAACATGGATTTACCACTTAGGGGGTGTTTTTTTTTGAATTTTAAGAGGAAAATTGGTCAATGGGATTTTGGTTCCCATTGACCAAGAAATCCATGTTCTTTTTTGAGATTTAAGTGGGGGCAAAAAAAACTTTATTTTCCATGTAAGAAAAAAATTGCCAACACTCGAATAGGACAAAAATACCCCTTTTTAAAAATAGATTTTTTATAACTAAAATAATCAGTCTTATTTGCCAAACACTTGATAAATAAATTAAGGTTACGAAAAAGCGAACTCGGCTTAAGTCCATTTTAGCTCAACCGAACTCAATTTCAGGCTTGGCTTGGCTCGGTTCACGAGCGTAAAATTTTGAACTCATCCCAGTTACCAAAAAGGATGTTCGCCTCATCCCAATTCCCAACGAACAGTCTTGGGCCGGGGCAAAATATCTAATTTGGGTCACGTCGTTCCAAATTCCCCAAAACCGGTCTAAACAGATTTGGTGCTGGCCGGCCCAGCCCCACATTAAATAACGAAAAAATAAATAACTAAAGACTTGACTCATTCAGTCATTCCAAGAGTGAGATGGGGAGCCGCTTGATGCTTTGAGTCGGTGCATCGAAGATCTATTCCTAACCGTATAAAGAGCATCTCCATCGTGGGGCCAGAAGTCTGTTATACGACAGGTAATATTCCCTTCTTCTTTCCTCCTTCCTCCGCTTCCTTGCCTCCTTGTAAGGGTTTCCGAGTTCTTTTTCTCTCACTCTCGCAGCCTTCCCTCTTATTCCCAATTTCAGTCTCTCGTCTCGTCTGGTTGGGGTTTCTGGCTCCAGGCTTCATGGCTGAAGCTGAACCCTTCGTCGCATCTTTGTTTCTCTATCTGCGAAACTTCTCTGCTTACTTACACGCGTTTGGTTGACTCATTTACAGTTCTTCCGATTCGGGTTTGGTTTTAATGTTCGAAACGAAGAGCATGGGTTACTCATAAGCTGGGAAGAAAAGAGTGGTGGAATCCCTAGCAGAGTCTGGTGTTTTTGGATCTTACAGTAATGGTGATTGTAATTACTGTAGTTCTTGAATAACTTCTTTCTTCTAATGATGGAGGAATCAGCATCCAGTAAAGGACCTGTTCTTCCTCCTTTTCTCACTAAATGCTACGATATGGTTGAGGATCCTGCAACTGACCCGATCGTTTCGTGGAGTTCGAGTAATTACAGTTTTGTCATCTGGGATATGACTGCTTTTTCGCGAGACTTGCTCCCAAAGTACTTCAAGCACAGCAATTTTTCAAGCTTCATGAGGCAGCTGAACACCTATGTGAGTCTACTTCTCTCTGTGCAGTGGGTTCATTTAGGTGTGTTGGTTGTATCTTTTAAATAGCTAGTGCCTTTAGTCGTGTATTTGTGCTAATTACTTGCTCTGGGAGTGGGTGAGCTAATATTTGTGCTCTGTTTCATCTCACCACCTTGATTATGAATTCTAGCTTCCTTTCGAGTAAATACAACTTGAGCAGCGCCCCGTTCTCGTATTTGTTGACTTTATAATTTTTAATTTGGATTGGTCAAAATATTAGACTTAATGTTTCAAATTAGATAATAGTTGGTCATTTTCTGAAAAAGAAAATGTTGTAGCCAATTAGTATAAAAGGGAAAAATCAAATCCTGTCAACTATCATCCATAGACAATATCAGCTTGTCTCTATTATTCATCTTCTTTAGTTATTCGATGAAGGGAAATTTTAAAGATTTCTAGTCTATCTCCTTTAATGAATTTCCATTGTTGGTCTAGTCAGAGATACCTTTGGTTATTGGGTTTCTGGGAAACGCTTTCAAGACTCAACTTACCACATAATATACCTCATTTATTGACTAAATCAATTTGAGAGTCTATGTTTATAATATAAAATTAATGCATGCCTTTCCAAATATGAAACTGAAGAGGATTTCTAGACAAATTTAAGTTAATGAGGCATGAGTGAGAAGAAGACCCATAGTCTAATGTGCTAATATTATTATTTTGATATATTCAGTAAAAAAATACAAACTGTCTAATGTTAGATAGGAGAGACATGCTAAATTAACTTGTTAAGCCTAGCATTTTTTTTCCCTCTTAGATTTTCCTATTATGGGTATTGAAACTCTAATATTATTCTAATGCAAAATAATAGCTGAAGATTGGGTTGGGGGTGTTAGGAACCATCAAGGGGATGTTTTGATGGTTTATTCAGGCCTCATAAACACTTAAAATTCCATTAGGGCTGAGCTCACGTCCTTACTACAGGGTCCAATATTGGGCTTTTCTTTGGGTGTACTAATTAGAGATGGAAGGAAAAGCATAATAGGTTGGAGGAAGGTGATCTGGGTCCTTGGCAGCTTTGTTTTTCACATTCAGGAATCAAGATCATTTGGTAGTAGTATGAAACGAATCATTCCATTGGGCCTAGAGATTAGAAAATGATTTGGTGGACTCACTTGGCGGGTTTGGGGGGGGGGGGGCTAATGGCATGCTAGTTGGGGGGAGAGGAACATATTTTCTCTCTCAGTTTTTCTTCTAAATTTCTGATTAGTTATTAGTCAGAAAACAGGAACAAAATGCTAAAAGGTTAATGGATTGGTGAATCAAAAGCTTGAAACAATATTGGAGGAGATTAGAATAATAGCATCTATATTTTGGAGTGACATAAAAAAAAATCTATATTTTGGAGTGCTAAGAAGCAGCCTCATTTTATTTTCATTATTATCTCTTATCCTGGTTCTCATAGGTTTGCCTTGTAAATGCAAATATGCTAGCTAATAACAGTTTCCTTTGAAATTCTAGAGGAAAATCTGTATTCCGAGGAGATAAAAAGTCACTTTATTTTTTTTGATAGAAATAAGACTGTTAGAATAAAAAAATTGAGTCATGAGTGTAATTATAAAGCATATTGCCCCAATTTACACACTAGAAAAGGTATATGTGGTTGATAAAGCCCAAAAGAAAGTATCCTAGTACAAGATGTACAAATGACACCCTAGCATGATAAGGACCAAGGTTCAAAATTTCGGTATAGGCTGATACGCCGGTTGGGGCGTTTTGGCAGGTAGCTTGGCCCGCTTTTAATCCTTTTTAGTTTTTTTTTTTTTTTTTTTTTTTTTTAAACTGGTTCAGAGGGGTTGGTTTAAGGCCCGTCTACCCCCCTTAACCAGGTCAGACCCCGAAACACCCCCTGCACTATAGCAGCAGTGATCTGGACAATTTGGGAGGAAAGGAATGTAAGAATCTTTGAAGACAAGGAAAGAAGTAAAGAAGCTGTGATTGAGGTGATTACTCTCAGAGTAGCATATTGGGTGAGCACTTTAAAGCTCTTTGCTGACTTTAAGGTTGAAGATTTCTGCATATCATGGGGAATAATTGCAGGTTCTTCATCTAGAAGATAGATTGTTCATGAGGCCTGGTCTCCTCCATGTGTTGGGTGGAAGAAATTAAACTTTGATGGTAGTTGTATGGGATCCTGGACCATCGGGTATTGGTGGGGTAATTAGGGAAGAAAATGGAAACTTTCTAGCTTTGTGCTTAGGTCCTATTCAGCATGGAGATGTTGTGAGATCAGAATTATTGGCAGCAGTCTATGGTGTAGAGAAAGCTAAAGAAATGGGGATTACTAAGCTGATTATTGAAGGTGATTCAAAAGTAGTTTTGGGCTGGTTGAAAAAAGGGGAAGGAATCATATGGAAGTTAAGGAGATTATGGGTGACAGTGGGGCACAATTCTGTAAATAGTGAATTGTTTCTGGGTGGGCTTTGTTTTTTGTGCCCACAAATCTTTGTTGTACCTCTTTTCTAATCTAATGAATCAATTGTGTTGTTGATCAGAAAAAAAACACCCCCTGTAGGGGTGTATTGGGAGGCCACCGATACGATACGTATCAGCCGATACGGCCCAATACGTATTGAAATTTTGAACCTTGATAAGGACCCCAAAAGACATCATCCCTTGGAACTCCTTATCGAGCAAAATTGACTATAGTTGAGCTAATTAACATAGTTGTCAAGGTGTCTAGGAGATTATGGGTGACAGTGGGGCACCTAGTCACCAAGGTTCAAAATATCGATATTACATATCATATTGGAAAACATGGAGACAGATACAGTTTGGATACACATGAATACTGTGGAAAGATAGGGATGCACTTGGATACATCAGGGAAACTCTTACAAATCCCACAAATATATCAGTAGCACTAAACTAAGATTAAAATAACTATGAATAAGGTATAAACACATAAGAAATGCACGTTTTAATAGTTTATATGAAGAGATACATTACAATCAACAATACCGAGAGTCTAGAACATGTAGAATTATAGATATTATACAATAATTTTACTAATAATACATCAAACAATGTTTGAGCTTGCAATCTACTAAAAAAATTCATTATAGGACACATCTAATTGTTATTAGATCAATGAGTTCAATGGATCATTGATAGATCTATCTTATAGTTCTCTCTTACCATGAAAATCATTTAAAAATTAGAATATACCAAGTAAATTATTTTTCTAATATTTGGTTTTTCTTAAACAATTAAGAAAAAAAATCATTTTTGGCATAAGTTGTTCTTATACCAATGAATTTAATAGATGATTGATAGATCCACATTATAGTTCTTTCCTGTAATGAAAAAGTTATGTTTCATAATTTTTGGATTTTCCACTTTTAGCAGTGGTTATGACTGTCGTTATAACTTTTAGCACCATTCCACTTGTTCCCTGTACCCATGCCTTCAAATACCAATACAATATGCCCTATATCAGGCATATCATATTGATATTTTTGAACCTTGCTAGTCTCCTAGGCAATAAGAATTCTATAAAATAAAAATATAAATTTCAAAACAGTACTGATATCATGGGTATTTTAAACATACAATCCAGCATGCACAATATTACTAATACAATGGATATTTTAAATATATTAATTTCCAAACATGACAAATCATCATATATAAGACAATAGTATTTTAAATATATCAATTTCAACATTTTCAAAAATAATACTAATACAATGAGTATTTAATGGAGCAATTTTACATGATAAAATTTTCAAATTAACAACTAAAGAATACTATGACTTTATATGATAAAATTTAAGATAGAGTAAGTAAAAGAGAAAAAGAATAAGGGTGAGATCACTGTTTTATTTAATGTAAGAGATTCTTTTTCTCTTTTGAAAACCCTTGGATATTTTGTGTTTCGATAGTAAATCTTTAAAACAAAGTATAAATGATATATATATAAATGAAAGATGGTTAGCTGAAGGGCTTGATGGGAGTCACTTGAAGCTTCTCAAGTTCAACTCTTGGAAAAAAGATTTGAGGAAGAGGAATTCAAGGAAGCAATATTTGATGGAAGTTTCAAGAAAGCTATGGAGGGCATCACAAAGGCAGTAATAGGTCTGATTCGTAGATCAAATGGTGACTTGACCTAGGCCTATAGTGGTCCTTCCTAGGCTGCTGATGCAACGGAAGCAGAGACTAGGGCCCTCCTTGAAGGCCTTAGAATGTCAAGTCAACAGTTTTGTTCCATTGTTGTGGAGGGAGACTTGAGGGATGTCATAAACTGGGCTTCTGGATAGACCCTTGACCAGTGGAAGCTCTCTCACCTATTTTTAGAAATCAAGGAGCTTGCCTCTTGCTTGCTTTGCGGTTTTAGATGGATTTCGAGAGAGTTAAATGAAGTGGCTGATAGCCTTGCTAAATCTGGACGGGGACTTTTTGTATAGTGCACATACATTGCTGAATTATTAGTGGGATTTGTCCTTTTGTTTTTGTTTTTCGGACAAGGCCTTGTACATCCCCTCATGTACATCCCTTCATTGTTTAATGAAATCACTTATCTTTTCTCAAAAATGTTTGCCATGGATAGATCTAAGGCACTAGGTCCAGATGGATTTACAATGGCTTTTTATCAGGACTGTTGGGAGATCATCATGGTGGGTTTGATCAAAGTGTTTAATGAGTTTCATAGGAGGGGCATAATTAATTTGGGATTGAACTCCACCTTTATTACCTTGGTTTCAAAAAAGTCTAATTGCTAGTCATTCGAAGGATTCTAGACCAATTATCTTGGTAAATAGAATTTATAAAATAATTGCTAAGGTGTTGTCTTTGAGGACTAAGAAAGCACTTCCCTCAATTATCTCTCATTATCAATTAGGATAGGCAGATTGTGATCAAATTCTTATTTTGAATGAATGTATAGAGTCTCAAAAAAGATCTAGGAAAAAGGGAGTGAAAATTTAGTTGGACTTGGAAAAAGCTTATGATCTTGTGGATTG